GATTTTTAAATAGACTGAATTTTAAAGTGATTGGAGTTGTAGAGACTGTTAGACTTTTTAAGTTTGTAAAATGTTATATAGTGTGATGTTGATTTTAATGTGTGATTATGGGAATGGACAAGAAAGGAAAGGTTATGATTTTAACTATGATATGTTTGTGGGTTAAACTGACAAGGGATCAATTGTCCTGGCTAGCTTTTACTCATTTATTTTATGTGTATGCATTGGTGTTCTGTTTGTGTGTATATCTGTGTGAGGTTGTCAGAAACACTGTAACCGGAGTTACAGACAGGTGTGAGCTGCCATGTAGGACTTGGGAATTGAACTTGGGTCCTCTGGAAGCACAGCCAGTGCTCTTAACCACTGAGCCATCTTTCCAGCACATTGTCCTGGCTAGTTTTATGTCAACACAAGCTAGAGTCATCTGAAAGGAGGGGACCTCCATTGAGAAAATGACTCCACAAAGATTTAGCTATAAGGGATTTTCTTAATTAGTGGTTGATGGGGGTGGTGCCATCTGTGGGCTGGTGATCCTGGGTTCTATAACAAAGCAGGCTGAGCAAGCCATGAGGAGCAAGCCAGTAAACAGCACCCTTCCATGGCTTCTGCATCGGCTGCTTCCTTTAGGTTACTGCCTTGCTTGAGTCCTTGTCCTGACTTCCTTCAGTGATGGATAACATTGTGGAAGTGTGAGCCAAATAAATAATTTCCTCCCCAGCTTTCTGGTCATGCAATAGTAACCCTAAGACACTTACTCTCTATAACTTTCTCGGCCTGCTTTCTGATGTAACCCAAGACCACCTGCCTAGAAATGGCACCGCCTACAGTGGGCTGGGCCCACAGATTCTCTAAGAGGCAATCTAATGAAGCATTTCCTCAACTGAGCTTTTCCCTCTTCCCAAATGACCCTAGCTTCTATCAAGTTGACAAACAAACTAACCAGCACAAACAGCTAGTTGGCAAAATCTCAGGTGGAAATATCTTCTTGGCCTATAGGTAGTTTGGTATGGGCTTTCAGAAATAAGAACTTCCAGTCAGCCTTGGGCAGCAATCTTACCCACATTTTAGCCTCAGGCTCTTGGGCATGTGACTAAACTTCCCTGGGACTCGTGTTTTCCATCTGTAACTGAAGAAAATGAGATCCTCTGCATGTGTGGTACCTGTTCCTAATAAGAGCTCATCAAACGCCTCTCTCCTGAACAAACCACACCCACAAGCTGATGAATACCTCAGTGACTTTTTAAAAATCTTTTTAATTTTACATACCAATCCCAGTTCCCTTCCCTCCTCCCGACCCCCTCACCCATCCCCCCCCCACCCAAGCCCCATCTACTCCTCAGAGAGGGTAAGGCCTCCCATGGGAGTCAACAAAGTCTGTCACATCATTTGATGCAGGACCAAGGCCCTCCCCTTGAATCTAGGCTGAGCAAGGTATCCCTCTGTAAGGATACCTTGTACTAGGGATAAATACTGGTTCCCACTGCCAGTGGCCCCCCACAAACTGCCCAAGCCACACAACTGTCACCCACATTCAGGGAGCCTAGTTCAGTCTTATGCAGTTCAGTCTCAGTCTGGAGTCAGTGAGCTCCCACAGGTCAGCTGTTTCTGTGGGTTTCCCCATCATGGTCTTGACCCCTTTGTTCATATTATCTCTCCTCCCTCTCTTCGACTGGAGCTCAGCCCAGGGCTTAGCATGGTTGTTTCTAGAAAATTGATATTCTAACTCAAGGACCTGCAATACCACTCTCGGGCATATCCGCAAAGGATGCACACTCATACCACAAGGACATTTGCACAATTATGTTCATAGCAGCATTATTTATGATAGCCAGAAACTGGAAACAACCTAAATGCCCCTCAACCAAAGAATGGATAAAGAAAACGTGGTACATTTATACATTGGAGCACCACTCAGTGGTTAAAAAAAAAAATGACATCTTGAAATTTGCAGGTAAATGGTTGGAACTAGAAAAAGTCATCCTGAGTAAGGCAACCCAGATCCAGAAAGACAAACGTGGTATGTACTCACTCATAGGTGGACATTAGACATAAAGTAAAGGACACAACCCCAGAGAAGCTAGGTAACAAGGAAGACACGAAGAGAGACACACATGGACCCCCTGAGAAGGGGAAAGGAGCAAGATCTCCTGAGTAACGTGGGGTCATGGGGATGGGGATAAAGGTAAAGGGGTGCAGAGGGGAGAAGGATGGGGGAGGAGAACACGAGGGAATGGGAAGGTCGAGTTGGGGGAAGGACAGAGAGGGAGCCATTATGGGGTTAGTGAAAAAAGTGGCACTGGGCACAGATGACCCCGACCGAGACTCAGCAGCAGTGGAGAGGGTGCCCGAACTGGCTTTTCCCTGTAATCAGATCGACCACTACCTTAATTGACATCATAGAACCTTCATCCAGTAACTGGTGGAAGCAGATGCGGAGATCCACACTGGTTTTTTTTAAAGTTGGACAAACACATTGTTGTACAACTGTGTAATTGGACCACAGTGGGTTGCTGTCTTTTCCAAATAGCCTGGCATCTAGATGGGTGTCCTTCTGCCTCGGCTTCAGGGGCTGTATCTCTTCTGGGCTAAGCTATCCCTGGTGTGGAGACTCTAGAGGCCAAAAGGCAGCCACAGCCATAACATGACTCGAGTATGCAGCTATCCTTATCAGGGTCCCAAGAACCAGGTGGGTCAGCTAGAAGGTGGGTCAGCATGCTTGTGGCAAGTGAGCAGGGTTCCCAAGGAGAGAGACGGTAGGTGCTGCAGTAAGCAGACCAAAGGGGCCCAGCTTTCCCTAAGGGGTTGTAGCTGGGTGTTCAGCACTGCAAATAATATGTATTTCCTAGGTGTTTATTGTGAGTGCGCTTTCATTTTCTTCCCCTTGTGATTGAGCAGAATTGAGGGAAGTCAGTCATTTATCCCCTTGATTGACAGTTGATGGACTCTTCCGTTATGCTCTGTTGTTACCTTGAGCAGGGAGCAGTCAGCCCGGAAGCTCCTCTTTGGGTGACCCACTGGGTTGACAGCCTGGTGGCTTTGAATGCTTAATGAACACCTTGAAGAAACTCCACTCCTGCTACAAGCAACACTTTCAACCACGGCTGGTGGCTGCGGCTGTTCAGGAAGCTTATTCCACTTATAACTACTCCAGTCTATGTGAGCGCTAGAAAACTTCAGTCTGGCCGTTCCGGGCCTCAGTGATTTCCAGATGACCAAGACTGAAGCTGCTGGGTACTAGTATGGCAGCTGCTGCTAGCCCAATCGATGCTACTTGCCAAGTGCTGAGATGCTGCTAGTCAGGGCCCAGAGCAGTCAGCTTACGGTTAGAGCACCCAGAACCTCCCTCTTCTAGATCCTGGAGCCACAAGCCTCTAGTCTCAGGGCTTACCAGCTACAAGCTTCTGAGTCTGTCATCCCAGGCTCCCAAGCCTTGGGTGTTCAAGGGCTCAGGCCTCCCAATTCTGAAACGCCATTCCTTGACTTCTGGCAATTTCCATTAGAGCAAAAGGACCTCAGTCAGCTGACTGGTACAAGAACAGATGGCTCACCTCCATGACACTTTCCCTCAAGAACCCCAGAGACATCCTAGACTGTTTCATCATTTGAAATATGGGGACAGAGACCACAAGAAGTACAGAGAATTGACTGAGGACATCAGCCAATTGGAGGGGTATGGAAGGAACAGCTCCAAAACCCATCTGCTGTCCCCATTCCTTAATTACAAGGTTACTTATTGATCATTTTATTAACTATTTCCCCCAGTTTTTTCATCTGTATCCTCTTCCCCCCTGCCTGGAGCTCCCCCTCTCCATCCTTCTTAGGAATTTCTGACTTTGAAATTCAAGTTTTCTTCACCAAAGTGATCACTAGTTTCCTCATGTTAGGGCCAGGCAGTTGCTAGAGGGTTTTGGAAATTCTACGCATTATATAGAATTTGGAGGCCAAACGCAACCGACAAACTTGGGGACATCATTCCACGCCCCATGCAGCACAGGACAGCCCAGAACAAAGGGTTCTTCAGCACCAGGTGTTCACAGCCCTAGCCGGAGAAAGCTTGTCCCGGGACACTTAGAAGGGCACCCCATTTTCTTCTTAGCCTTTTTTTTTTAACGTGGTCAGGCTTCCCTCATGACAGCCACACCCGTCACCAGACCAGAGGTTTGGGTTGGGCAGTGCTCCACCAGGGTTAGAGAGCACCTAGGCAGGCTCTTGGGCCCTGGCAGTGTTGGGCACAGTACCCCTCCAGGAGCCAGCTTCCCCAGGAGCAAGTCTACTGCTATCTGCGGGGTCTGCGGGGTCTGTGGGAAGGGGACCCGGTGTCTGAGGGTTTGTGTGTACACACGAGTAGGAGAGGATGCCTAAATGCCCCTTCTATAAACTTCACCCCGTCCTTCTGCTTTGGTTACCATCTCTCATCCGTGTATGCCCCGGCCCGCTCCATTCCGGATCCTTCTGGAGTTATATCCTGAGACTGGATCTACTCCTTGTAGGCCATCAGGGTGCTGTTCTCGCTGGCCTGAGTCGGTTGCCCATCTGCTTGCTGTGTGTCTGGTCCCTTCTGTTACCTCCTCTCCACGCTCACAGTCTGACTCATTGTTTTGCCGCTATCATCCCCAGGGACCAGAGAGGAATGTGCAAAGTCCCTCCCCTCAAACCAGATGTGGGATCCTCCTTAGGTGGATTAAAATCCTTGAAGTTGTGTGTGTCACAGACTTCTTTTAGGGTGCCCGATAGGAGGCAGAAGAGCCCTGTGACTTTAGCCTCCGTTTCCCTGCCTGTAAAATGTGAGAATGATGGAGTCAGAGAGGGAGCAGGAGAGTAAGGGGGACTCAGAGGGCCCTGGCTGGCCACCATCATCCTCATGGATGGAATGATCGCCGCCCTCTTCTGGTGTGTAATCAAGGGGTCGGGTCACATGGGTATAATGACAGAGTGTGGCTCTTAGACAGGCCTAACCTGACATATGAGTGTGTATATCGACTGCCTCATTCTCTTGCCAGAGGCTTCCAGTTTGCTTGGCAGAGGGGAGACCAGCAGGCCAATTGGACTGGGCTCTTTAATGACAGCGACAGCCTATCAGAGCAGAGCATCAGTGACTTCAGATCCAGGTACAGACCCCAGTGAATGGCGGGGGGTGGGGGGGAAAGGGGAAGCCCAACAGGAGGGGACTCTGCAGCCCCTACCCCATTGCCTGTCTCTAGAAGGGCCCCACGGAGGAGTGCCTTGGTCTTCCTCTTCACAGTTTGTATTTGGCGTCCTCCTGTGTCCTTTACTTGAAGTGATGGGGGATGGCCTTCTGTATATATGTTTCTCTTATTGGTTGATGAATAAAACACTGTTTGGCCGACGAGGCAGGAAGATAGGCGGGATGAGGAGAATTCTGGGAAAGGTAGGCAAAGGAAGACCATGAAACAGTCACCATGTAAGGACTTGGAGGAAAGGACATCCTAGACATTCTCCAATAAGATAGGACCCGTGGAAATACATAGATTAATAGAAATGGGTTAATAATTAAGACAGAGCTAGTCGATAAGAAGCCCAAACCATTGGCCAACAGTTTTACAAGTAATACAGCTTATTTGGGGCTCAAGAATGGCGGGACCAGGTGGGAAATACAGCAACATTGAGGGGTGAGCAGATATGAGGGATAGGACCTCCCCCCAACACTGGGGAGGCACTGACCTTCTGGGTAGGTCGGGATGGGAGCTCTGAGTTTCAGCCCCCATTTGTAGGTGGGAACAAGAGCTGTGTCTACACAGCATTGGTTTCAGACTTGAGTTGGCAAGTGCTTGTGTGTGGAGGAGGGTGTGGTGGCATCAGGGAGTGGATATGGGCAGGGGTCCCTGTTGCTTTCAAGTTCACTGCCTGGATATAGAGTTTTCCCAGGGCTGGGGCAGAGTCACCTTGTTCAAGACAATACTGAGCTGTGACATTCATTTCTTCTTCTTCTGTTTATTCCCTCTTGATCTGTTGCAACATTTAAAGCTAAAGTCAGTAACGAAGGGGCCTTCTGCCTATACTGGAGGAGTGCCACGATGCTTGTGAATGCAAAAAGTAGAATGCTCTTAGGTGAACACATTCTTTTCGAGGAGGAGCTGTGTGAATGAGATGCTTTCTGTGTTTGCAGCTGTGCATGGCAGGGGCCTGCCAGGTAACAGATTCTGGGGGCTGACTAAGCTGTTTTGTACTTTGATATTTATATTTATATCTATATCTATATTTATATATATTTCAATTTCTAAGCATTTCTAACTGTCAGATCTGCTTCCCTGAGCAAAAGGCCCGAGCTTTCTTTGCAGTTAATCTTGATCCTAAACATTGAATCAACCTTGGTGGAAAGACATAATGTGCTTTGCAGGATCACAAACTAGCCTGCTTTTGTCAAAACTCTGAAAAAAAAAAATGTGGCTTCTGTGTCAGCAACCAAGTGGGTGCAGGTCTACAGAGCAACCTGAGTGTGTAGGATGGGCCATACATCACAATCAGACTTCAAGGGTCTGATGCTTGCCTCTTGGGACCAGAGGTCTTTCTTCATATGGGCAGTGGGAACACGGCCAGCTGAGCAGGGTCCTGGGATGTCATGGGACAGTGAGTGTACCAAGGTTGTCTTTCAGATGTTTAGCTGATTAGTTAGTTGGTTGGTGATTTGTCATGGCCCACTCATCCAGATGTGAGGTGGTCATGGTAGATGAGCAGGTGTCACCCTGGGGAGCTTCATATGGCAGCAACTACTTAGACCCAGTAGGGTATGAATTTAAACAGGGCATGAAGTGAGGTGGGGTGGGTAGGAGGAAGACTTGGGAGGAATGAGGAATGAATATGATGAAAATACATTGTGCACATGTGTGGAATCCTCAAAGAATTAATAAAAATACCATACTTACAAACCAGAGATTAACCGCTTACTGTACCATGGCATTCCAGGAGCCCACAACCTCTTCTCTGCTTCCACAGGAAGGACTGTGGTCCCAAGGCCAGCATCTGACCCTTGGGGCTTCACCATGGTGTGTGCCAGGTATTGGCTTTGTTGATGGAAAACTAGTGACAAGTATAGACACTAAATGGCTCGAACCAAAACTCACAGCTGCCTCTTTGGGAGTCAGAGCAATGATGTCTAATAGCCAGGAGGGCAGGGATTGGGAGGGTCTAATCTAGCTTTGACACCTGTCACAGCAGTTGGTTCACTGTTGGCCTCATGCGTGGAAGACAGCATGCGGTGTGTGTGGTTCTCACGTGTGAGAAGAACAAGTAACGGAACCAGAAAAGGCTACACACGGGAGATTTTTACCTGCCTGAAGGAGCCGCTTGTGTCTTCTTTAAGATGGGCTGGACAGCTTCTGGCAGCAGATTTGCAGCCCCCAGGGAGAACTTAACAAGGACAGACATCATGAGCATCATCCCAGCTAACAACTTTGAATCTGGGATGTAGAATATCTTCCTACTGAATAATTCAGTGCTTGCCATATTTTTACGCTCTATAGTTCTGTGGTATGTGGAAGTGTGGTGCAGTCTGTTAGCATTTTATTATTAACAGGGTTGGAAAGGAAGTCAGGAGAAACCAAATTTAACCAGAGGATAAGGAGTACACCAGCAAACGACTTCAAGTCTCCGTTCAAGCAGAAACCATGAGGAAAAGGTGATAGTCTGAAAAACTCCAAACAGAACCTCAAAGAAAATCCTGGCTGATGAGGCTACTGTTAGATCTGGTAAACACGGACCGGAACTCGGATCGCGTTAGGAAGTGCGTTATGAAATATACACTGGCACATGTCTTTATGGAGCTCAAGTCAAGCCTATGAAGTTGTGCCCAGTAAGCGTCCTCAGGGAACTGCTTTAATGAGCAGAATGAGTAATTGTTAACTGACAATGTCAAACGAGTGCTTGAGCCGTATCTCCTGTGTTCAGGGTATGAGTTCATGTTCCCGTCCCTCGGCGAGGCGGTGGTTGTGAGCCCTCTTGTAGTACTCGGAACACAGGGGCACCTGCTCCGTCACAGCGTAAGAGGACGAGCTGAGTGAGAAACAGAGGCAGACTCCAGTCTCTGTTTCCGGATCTGGCCTCAGGATTCAACCTTGTCATTTCCCGATTCTGTCCTTGAAGTTCATTCCTTCCCAGGTTGGAACTATCCAAGATTCTCTCTTGGGAAGAGCAGATGGATGAGTGGCCCGAGAGTCCTGGGATCCGGACAGAAAAGGGGAGGCTGAAGGTTGGGGAGGGGTGTGCAAAAGTCAGAGAAGAGTCAGTGAAGGTGTGCAGGCTATAGGTGCCTGCAGTAACTGACCGTGAAACCCTCCCAATACCCCCATGCTTGGCAACGGATAAGAATTCTGGGAGGTGGGACAGAGTCCTTGTCTTCTTTGGCCAGCTGGACGCTAGTCTGGCCTGTCTGCCTGCTCAGCAGCTTCTCTGGGGAGGTAGCTGTCTTCCTCGGCGGTTGTCCACTTTGTCTACAGGGTGGGCAACATTGCATCCACTTCCTCATGCCATCTCGGATGAAGATACCCCCAAGTCACATGGTGCTGAGGGCAGCTAAGGCAGAAGAACCCTCTCGCCTGCTCCAAGAGCTGTCTATCACCAATGATTGACAGCCTAGCCTGGATCTACAGCACGAGGGTTTCACTTAGTGCTGTGGCTTTACTCTGCCTGCCTGCCTGCCTGCCCCGCCCCCCCCCCCCCCCATCTCCTCCTTTGGTCTCTCTGCTAGCACAACCCAGCACCATCAACTTCCCTTTAACTCTGCCTTCTGTGAGACACGCCTGCTCTGGAGGTAGTTTCTACCATTGCACACCTGGACTTCTCTGGAAAGTGCTCATATATGCTTTTGAGATTTCTCAGATACCCTGGATCCTAAAGAGCCTCTCACCGTGGACATGTGAGCTGGTACCTATGTTTGCATCTTGGGGCCCGAGCCCTCTGGTGCAGCCTGGCCTCACTGGCACCTCCTAGGTTCCACACCAACCTTGGCCCCCCATCCTAACAGGATAGCCAGAGGAGGAAATGAGAGGTGACCCAAGAAAGACAGACAACCTGAGGCCTAAAGCAGAGCTGGTCCAAATGCTGCCACCAAGCTGCCTATGGCTGGAAACTGTTCTCCCAGGGGTAGCGGCTGTTAGGATGGAAAATGGAGGATGGTCTGTACCACAGCAAACAACAGGAAGTGAAATCAAGGGCGCACGAGAGAGAACCAAGTGACGGTCAGGAGCCGAGGCTGAGGTCCTCCATGTGTGTACCTAGCAAGTCCGGTGTAGTGTGTGTGTGGGGGGGGATTGCCATATTTCATGGCTGGAAGGAACCTGCCTGAATTCAGTTTCGTACTTTATTATGTGACTTCTTCCCTAATTGTTCCGAGACAATGTGTTAACTAGGGGGCGCAGATGGCGTGCGCGCACCAGAGCTTAGTGTGGAAGTCACAGAGGCTGCTGGAGTCGGTCAGACATGGCTTGTGTCTGGAGGACCCTGTCCATTGCCTGCCACCCCCGGGGTGTGGTTGCGTGCCAGGCATTTGCTGAGACCATTCTGTAAATCACTGCCAGTAATTCGTACCCTTTACCCTTTGCACCGGACACTATTACCATCTCTCGTTGCAGGCGAGGAGACCGAGTCGCCTCCGAGTGGCAGGTGGGGGAGGGTCGGCCAGCCTGGGTAGTGCTGATGCTGGCGCCCCAGCTCTGGTGGGGGGTAAAGCAGGATTTCTTCTTTCTGGGCTGTGAGCAGATCACCCATGATACAGAGTGCTACCTACACGCCCGTCCGGACCACCTATTTCTGCCCTTGACTGTTGGTCCAAAATAAAAAGGACGAATGGATTTAAGAGAAGCCTGTCTCCGTGTTTCCTGGGGGAAGCTGTGTTGGTGGCATCCGCCACCGTACTCCTTTGGCTCATTTCCTCCCTCCCCATCTCATCTCTACTTTTGTGTTCGTTCTCCCCCATTATTCACAAGGGGGTGGGGTTCATGACCCCCCGATCTGTGGGTTTAGCATTTTCCCATTGGAAAATGCCTGCTTCTGTCTCTGCCTGCTGTGTGTGTGTGTGTGTGTGTGTGTGTCTGTGTCTGTGGAGGGGTCTGCATTTCAGAATAATCCTGTGTAGCAGTGAGGCTGACCACTG